GCTCCATTTGCATCTGACAAAAAGGTATATTCTGTTACTTTTAGATGAAATATTCTGATTTGATAGGTTCACTTAGTCTATAGTGTTGTTCCAGTCTAGTGCTTTTTTATCAATATTTTGTCTACATGATCTATCCATTGTTGAAAGTGGGATACTGAATTCTCCTACCACTACTGTACTGCCGTGTATTTCTTTAGATCTGCTACTATCTGCTTTACATGCTTAGGTGCCTCAAAGTTGGCTGCATCTATATTTACAATTATTATATCCTATTAGTGAAATTTTCACATTATATGTTATATACAGATTAAGTATCCTTTATCTGAATTGCTTAGGATCGGAATTAATCAGATTTTGAATATATCTGGATTTATGAATACTTGAGTACACACAAAGAGATATCTTAGGAATGGACCCCATATTAAACATGTAATTCATACACACTTCAGATACACCATTTAAGTAATTTTAGACAGTAGTTTCAGTGCACTCTGTATTGACTGCACCCCATCACATCAGGTCAACTGTGCAATTTCCATGTGTGGGATCCTGTCAGCACTAAGAGCAAAATCAAGGAGAGATAATAGGAAGTGGGAGATAGATCCTTCCCAAATGGGAAGAGGCCCAAGAGATGCAGGAGGGGAGAGGAAGGAAAGAGGAAGGGGATGAGAAGAGAATTATGATGTCTTATGTACACGCACCAAATCCCTATAAGGAATATAACTGTTATGTAATGTTATGTAATGCAAATATGTACTAATAAAAAAACCTATTAAAGAAAAAAATATTCTGAATTTGGGAGCATTTCAGGTTTTTGGATTTTCAGATTATAGATGCTCAATCTATACTATAATATGACATATTTTCTTCACTTTATCTTGCGTGACAATTTTTGCCTTTAAGTCTATTTTGCCTCATGTAAATGTAGCTGACCTTCCTCTTTTTTGATTATATTTGTATGGTTTATCTTTTTCTACTATTTCCATTTAGTTTTCCTTTAAGACTACATGTATAGTGAGTTTCTATTATATAGTATGTAATTGGGTCTTGATTTTTTAAATTCATTCAACCACTCTATTTTTCTGATTGAAGAAATTTAATCCATTTATACTTAAAGCAGTTATTAATAGTTTAAGAATTACTACAACCATCACATGATCACCTCAATAGATGCAGGAACATCTTAACAGATGCTGAATAAAAGCCAACATCCTTTAGTAATAGAAATTTTCAATAATTATGTATAGAAAGTTTATATTTTAGCATGGCATGGTGACACACACCTGTAATCCCAGCACTCTGGGAGGTCAGATGACCAAAAGTTAAAGCCCTTAAGCCCATCCTCAGCAACTCAGCAACTTATTGAAACCTTGTGTCAAAAGTTAAAATTTTTTAAAAAGCTGAAAATGTAGCTCAGTGCAAAGGCCCTGTGTCAAATTTCCAGTATCATACACAAAAAAGAGAGAACTGTGCATCACCATATATGACAAGCCCATAGCAAACATTATATTGAGTGATCAAAAGTTGTAAGATTTTCCTCAAAGGTAAGAGAAAGACAAGAATCACACTCTTGCCACATCTATTCAACATTAGTACCAGCAGTCAATATTTGTACCAGAGTAATTGGGCAAGAAAAAAACAAACAAATGAAACCCAGAATGCAAAGAAAGTTAAATCTGCACTATCTGCAGCTGATATGATCTTATGTATACATAGAAAACCCTAAAGATTCCACCAAAAAAAAAAAAACTATTAGAATAAATTCAGTAAAGCCACAAAATAAAAAATCAACATGCACAAATCAGTAGTACTTTTATACACTAATACCTAACTGTCTGAAAAAGAAATCAACAGTCACATTTACTGTAGCATCAACAAAAATAAAATACTAGGGAATAAAGGGGCGGGGAACCAAAGCCATCACCCACGAAGTAGAGTGAGGCGTTCCTGACACTACGAGATACCAAGCCTCAGGAGAAGGGCACAGCCATCGGTCTGTCCTACAAGCCAGATGTCCAGTAGCCCCACCTGTCACATCCCTCTTCCTCCATGTTTCTGGTACGCTATTGCTTAAGTAAATGACTGTCCCTTTGGGGTCACTACCAAACAGCTAAAGGGGGAAAAAAGGAATGCCTATCTCTCTTTACCAGGGTCATTTTGACCACAGTCTGAGAGACACTAAGTTACTTTAAATTTCATATAATGAATAATTTGATGGTTTTGTTGCAGCTCTGTAGAGTTTGGCACCCCACAGATGAGGCCACAATCAAAGGTATTTATTAGAGGATTCCCTGAATTATTACAGACTCTCAGAATCTCCCTTATTGCTAAATTGGGCTTTAACAACTTTCTAGTAGAGTTTCCTTATTATTTGAAAAAGGGCCTTAAGAGATCTGCAAAAGGTCATCTAGCCAGTTAGTGACCAAGCAGGATAAGAAGACTAGGTATTTTAATTCCCAGTCCAATGGTTTTTCCACAGCTAAGCTACAATTTCTAACATGACTTCATTTTCATGTTCTAAAGTTTTAAGACTCTGTAGTACTCTCAGAAGAGAACTATCTCCAAATAGTTAATCTTATCACATTGTTTAGCTTTATGCTTTAAAATATTGAAATATAAGTACAATATTTTTAGGAAGGCACAAAACAAGCTTGATTTTGTAAAAGATGAAGCACTCTCACTTTGTAACTTACATTGTATATTTTAAATGGAGACAAAAATGGAGATGGTACAAGTTTCTCTATATTCTTTTTATAATTTAAACCAACAAAATTCTCAATTTAAATATGTTTATCCACAGTTCAATTCGTCAAGGAAGTAATACAGTGTAAGGACAAACGTTCCAGATGTCCAGTCTGCTTCAACTGGCTCTATGACCTTGGGTACTGACTTCCCCTCTGTGCGTCTGTTTCCTCATCTGTATGATCAATGCATTTACTTATATCAATCAGTGTATGTTTATATCAGTACAATCAGTATATATATTTACCAGTTTCCTCATCTGTACAATCAGTATATTTCACTAAGTCAATTTTTAGACTGTCAAATTAACCTGGGATACAAAATGGGTCACCTACCTCCATACTTCTGAGATCACTTTAACTTTTAAAATATAATAAAGCTCAGCATATGACTTCAAATTGGAAATAGGAATTGGTATAATTATTAGCACAGCTTAGATTACTTGAAAAGCATATTCTGGGCAAAGGATCACTGCCCTGATCAATCCTACATTCAAGTGTTAGCTAAAACACTTTTCTAGAAAAACAGTAGGATTTCCCATGAATACCATCATTTTGCCCAAGACAATGTCACTACATGTGGAAAATCTAAATATGTCATGGGTTTCTAGTGCTGTTTTATTAGCACTATTTTGATGAGCCATCAAGGTAATTTTGCTATTTACAGTTACATGAGTGGAGACAACCCAGAGCAGTCTGCTCACAAACCAAAAATCTCTTCTCAAAGTTTCAAAAGGGTATTCATTTTAAAACCGTCTTGATTCTAACTTTTGAATAGCTGAACAGCCAATGTTCCTATACCATGGCTATGAGTATAAACGTCTCAGAATGTCACCAACTCTCCAAAACAAGTAGAATGGTCATCACAAGCACACATTCATAAAAATAAAAAGACTCAGAAAGTCACTCTGCTTATTCACATGCCTTAGTTACTTCTCTCATTGCTGGGAAAAATACCTGGCAACCACAGCTTTAAAGACCCCAGCATGGCAGACAGGAGCCAGAGAGAGAGAAAGGAAAAGCCAGATAGGGAGCTGGACCCTTCTAAGCTGCATGTGACCCAGTGCTTCAGACCAGACTAGGGCCCACCTTCTCAGAGCAAGTCAGCTCTAAGCTCCATAATCCAATCTCCTTCCTAAAGCGCCGCCTACGAGCACATGAGGCCCTTAGGGGACATCTAGGTATCCAGACACCTAGACCACAGCAATGAAAGAAATATAATCCATTCTCATGATGCTTATAATCTAGGAGGGGAGAAATAAAATAAACAGCACATATAAAAATAAGTAAACCATTCTTTTCAAAGGCAGTAGACACTTTGGCCAGAGAGAGACAGAAACAAAGACACACACCGAGAGAGAAGCGAAGATTGAGAATGGTTCCAATTTTAAGCAGATCAGGACAGTCCTCACCACAAAGGCGTCATTTAACAAAAAACCAGAGGAGATGAGGAAAGGAGGCAAATAACCCAACTTAGGGAAGAATTTTCCAGGCAGAGGGAAGAGATCAGGCAAGGGCATACTTGATTTATTCAAGGGCATACTTGATTTATTTGTCTAAGAAAAAGACAAAATCATCCAGCTCTTATGATCATGAAAATTATAAAATTTCATCTTCCAGCTGGACTTCATATTCTAATGCTTTCACATTTAAAATGAAAATTATAAAGCCTGCTCTACAAACTTACTAAAGTCTGACATTAGTCAAGAAATGCAAAATTAAAATTCTGAAAATTTAAGAATATTCCAAAACCAAGATCTCTGATTCTTGTGCATTTTTAGTCTCCCAAACCCCACGTACACTTGGTAATGAGTTGTTGTGTGATATGCAAATATGCCATTTAATAGAGATGATACCATTATACAGAAGTCAAGTAAGATAGTCATCTTAGAAATTTAGAGATTAAGCACAAAGAAATGTTGTTATTTCAACAAGGAGAAACTGCAAGATTCATAGTTCACATGAAAGCATTCATTCTTTCTGAAATGTCACTGTCCCCTTCAGCATTACTACATTATTCATTTCATTAACTTTCTTCCAGAAACTGAAACAACTGTGATGACTGTACAATTTACACAGCATTTCTCCAGATTAATATCACCAAAAAACAAGATCCATCCAGAGGTAGCACTTTTTTATGAAGGAAGCGTCAGAAAGCCCACCCACAGTAAACATCTTACTTCTGCCACTTGCCTTGTGAGAAAACGAACCATGACCTCAAAAACTGACAATTCTGACATAAAACATGGACAACTCTACCTTGCCCAGCTGGTCCTTTTTGACAAAGCCAGTGGCAGCTGCAATGTTCCCAGCTCCCTCCACTGTCTTCTGCGCCACTGCTGTCACGCCCGTCACCACTGCTCCTCCAACATTTGTCACTTGTTCTTTGGTCTTCTCAGCCACTGGAATAAAATTTTAAAAATGCACTAAATTAGGGTAGAATGAGAAAGACTAAGTAATTCCATCTCCACCTCCCTTCAACTTCTGCACGTGTATATCTATATACATCATAGGCAACAGAGGGGTCAGAAGAAACAAAATACGCAAGAGTTCTAAGTGAGCTGGCATGGGCAAACACTGACTCTTTGCTGAGGTCATCCGGTGCAATTATGCAGAGAGTAGGAGGTGCTTCTCACCCAACTGCCATGAATATTCAGCTGTGAGTGGTTTGGTTTTGGTGGACATTAAGGACAGTGTCAGAAAGCAGAGCTTACAGGTGCAGTTACAGTCAAATCGATCCCAGCATGAAACGTATTTCTTTCCATTTCAAACCCATCTCTTTGATCTCACTCAGCAAGTTCATTTTCACCAGTCTTGTAAGACAGCATATACAGCATATCCAAAAATTTGAAATTTTAAATACTCTAAAATCTGAAACTTTTGAGCACCAAATGACACCACAGGTAGAAAATTCCACACCATGAAACCCTGGTTTGTACACAAAACTACTGAAAATATTATACAAAGTTATCTCCAGGGCATATGTATAAAGTGTATGAAACATAAATGAATTTTGCGTTAGGACTGGATCCCAGCACCAAGATACCTCATTATATGAATGCAAATACTTTAAATCCAAAAAGATGTTGAAATCGGAAACATTTCTGATTCTATGCATTTCAGGCAAGGGAATATAAATATTACTCATATGTTGGAAATAACAGAACACATGTTTGTGAATGGACTGTGATCCTTTTATAAAAGAGCTCTTAATAAGATTGACTTTCACTAATTTTAATGGGGACAGAGCCAGATTTTAAATTAGTATAAAAACTAATATTTATTGAGCACTTTAAATTTCTTTCATAAACAAAAATGATATAGTAATTCAGGAGATTTTTTAAAAGTCAGAAATGTAAACACAATAGTGTTATCTATTGGATTTATAAACAGATTTTAATTCCATATCAAATATTCTCCCCAATGTCACAGAATTGTACCAAACTGCTGAATCCATCTTTCCATATTATTTCCACAAAATTACATACAGGAAGACTAGTTTAAAATATCTGTTTTTCAATTAACTGAAGAATTTTTCAATTAACTGAAAAAGTATCTAAAGATGAGATTCAACTCTTTTAATAATTCTCAGGTTAATGGAGAAATAAACCGATCTGTCCCCATGTAATCCTCTATACATCCGTACCCACAGAACCTTGGCTTCTCCATCTTTTATCTATATTTATGTCGTGCTTGCCTCTTCATTCTGACCCACAAACTCATTCCTTCTTTATTCTCTTGGCTCAAAATTTTTTTTGCTTTTGAGAGACACTCTCCTAATCAAATAAAGACATTTTTTGTGTTATGCATTACACTCTCCAGACTAGACTCGTCTGAGGAAACCAGAGCTCCACCATGCCAGCCAGCAAGTGCTTTCCACACGATTGTTACACTGGACAGATTCCATGTCACCAGTTAGAGAGGATACCGATCAAACAGCGTAGGCAACACATTTTGCTTTGAGATGGCTTATTTGGGACAGGCTTACTCTTTAGTTTAGGTACTGTGGGGATGCCTGAAGTGGTTGGGGCTTAGACAACCTAAAACCAGAAAGCAGCCACCTCAGCTGCTGCTCTGTCCGCATCCGCTGGAACAGCACTATGCAGGCCAGTCTCTGATTCCCTGCCACTTCTAGGCACAGGCCTGCCGCCTCCTGAAGAGCAAGGCTAATCACAATTCAAGTTCAATTTAAATGCCACTGAAAAGCTGTACTGGCAATTTTATGTTTTTAAACATTCCTGGAATGTTGATCCTTTAAATATAGTGAATTATGTGTTTCAACTTGTGATTTTTTTTCCCAAGAACATGAATAGAAAGTTTTGCTTGAGATGAACATTTTCTTGTCAAAAAACCCTCAAGGAAAGACAAAAATAGGCTTTGATTTTTTATAGACTCATAGTTTTCCTGCCAGCCACAAATTTTACATATGTAGATAATCTTTTACATATGTATAAATTTTAATCTATTGTTTTCACGTACATACACTGCACAGTAGTATATACTATAATCTCACTAGGTTTATTATTGTCAAAATAAATTAGTTACATTATAAAATGACAAAGTTTACAGGTAGCAATAACACATATATTTTAAAAGACTGATTTCTCTAATAGTTTTCTCACTGACCTTGAAACCCTTTCCTTCATTTAAGACCTTTTAGACCATCTCTCTGGCCACTGTCATTTTGTAAGGGGAAAAGAGACAAAGTCAAATTAGTACATTTTGGATTCAATAAATTGCATTTATTTTTAAAGGGAATACCTTTAAAAATACCAGAATAAAATGGAATAAAAATAACCAGAATCAAAATGGGTATGTCCCTCCTACCCAATGGAGACTATAGTACTTTGAATTTGCGTATGTTTTTTCCAATGTACCAATTTTTCTCATTTTGGTATATTTAGCTTCCTCTGGCCACAGCCTTTACTCCACCTCTGTTTATTCAGGGAACTCAATTCCTTTGTTAAAATCCAGCTCAAATGCCACATTCTGTGTTTAAAAAGAAAAAAAAAACCAAAAAACTCTCCTAACAACAAGTGCCTTTCTCTGTCCTTTTATGATCCCATAAAGTTTTAAATATATGTCAGGTTGAGCTTTTACATTGTACCATAATTATTCTTCAACAAAATATCTGCCTACCTCCATCCAATCTATTTTGAGACTTTAAAATATGGGATCCTGCTTTATTATTCTTTATATTATTTTATAATAGTTACTCAACAAATACTTTGGAATGCGTTAAAAAGAATTTTGTTTATCCTTAAAGTATACCTTAACTTAAATATACATTAGATTTACATTTGATTTTAGGTAAATTAAAGGTAAAATTTCTAAAAAAAAGTGACACTTTCAGAAGAGATATAGTAAATCTAATCTCTGAAATTAAATAAAATTATAAAATTAAGAAGATCTAGCTTTGAGTTAGTAGGTAAATGATAGTGCAGATATTAGATCATAATATGTTGAAAATTTGCTTTGATCATTATGATATGATATATTTGTAAGAATTGAAACTTTCAGGAACTCTCCAATGTGTTAGGCATTTCTTTTATATCATACTTGCATGCAAAAACAAATAACTTATATGTCACCATTTCTAAAGTTTCTTCAAAGATTTATCTTTCAGTAAATCAAGTAAATATATTCTTATATACTGCTTTAACCTGATACATTAGGTTGACAACCGATATAATAATTTCCTACAGGTCAAAAAGCCAGGAGTCAGAGTAGAGATTCCAGATTTTCTAGCCAGAAGAATTTATTTTCTTTGATTTTTTTTTTTAGATTAAAAGTTCTGCCTAAATTTACTGAAGTCTATATTTCAGCAAAATAGTCACTGGGATACATTCTGGAGAAATTTTTCTTTTAACAATAGTGAATGTTTGTGTACCCTATAATACAACAGTTTCTTGTTTCCTTGAATAAAGACTAATAGCAATAACAAACATTTATTTAGCAGTTATGATGTATCTATAAAAATATTTTAGCATAATAAGCAGTCAGTAATTATCATAAACTTACTTATCCCCATAAGTAGAATTTGGATTTTATTTTAAATAGCCTTATTCAGCAAGTTAAGTCATTACCTTATCTAATGCGGAAAAGGAATAGTGTAATTGGTTCCTCCCAAGAGCCAGACTAATTATAACAGCATATTTAATACTGTACTTGTGACATGTAATCTTTATTGTCAAAGCGATTGGCTTGAGACGTTCTTAGTCAAGCACACTTCTGAGTGTGATTGGGTGGGTCATGGGGGCTTGATTTTAGGGACAATATCTGGTTCCTCCCACTTCTTCCCTTTAACTCTACTGCTCAGCTGCCATGAGGTGAGCAGCTTTGATCCATCACACACTTGAACCATAAAGTCTCTGCCTTGGAGCTGGCTAACCATGGACTGAACCCTCTGAAAATGTGATTTAAAACAAACCTGTCCTCTTTTAAACTGCAAATGGTGGATCTTTTCTCCCAGCAACAGGAAAGCTGACCAATGCAGTACCATTAACAGAGTCTTTGACTTGTACAGCTGTACATACTGCCTGTGCCCAAAGCATAACGACCTTGCTGCCTAACAGCAACTCTCATAATTTTCTATGAAACATTAGTTTCACTCTATTTTGCATCTAATGACAGAAAATTTCAACAGTCAAATACCTTTGAAGAGTTTGGATTAAACTATGCTACCCAATTTTTTTTTTTTTTTTTTACTGTCAAACAACTAAGATTCTCTAGCATGCTGAAGAAAGAATGGAATATGCAGTGTTACAAAGTTATAAAACTATAGAATCATGATTATAGGCTATTGTCAAGAATATTTTGTAAAATACTGTTTTATTGTAAAATCTTTCTCTCTTTCACACACACACACACACACACACACACACACAGAGTCATTTACAATATGGCATTCTGTAGCTTATCCCCATTACCTCCATTAGACAAAAATGTTAGTTAGTTTTTCTACTTTTTCACACTGGCTCTGAAAGCTCGCCACATGCTGTCCTTTTTCCAAATCACACGGCTTCACTTTCAGCTATCACAATGGACACCATTTATCTAGGCTGAAACTCTACAGATAGCACAGTCTCTCCCCTCTGCTAGCCAATTCTTCTTAAAATCTTGCTTACTCCCATTAACAGAAGGTTCCTAGATGGCATCACAGCACATTTATTTGCCAAGCCCTTTGCATTACATATTGGATTGCAACGGAGCAAATGAAAACTCCATAATTAACTTCTGAAACAGTTTTTAAAGCATTGTTTTATTTTTACAGTTTCATTCTCATCAAAAAATGTGCATTAAAAAAGACATGAAATGTTTTTCTTAAATGTTGTAAAAATGTTGCTCAGGAAAGGTCCACTAGAAGGAAATGCTAACACCTGAATACTCATACTATTTGCTTCCAGTTTCTAAGTATTTTGTGTATGGTAGGGTCACTTAATTCTTTTAGAGACAAGGAAATTAAATCACACAGAAGTTACAAATCTGACAAAAATTTTGAGTCAAAGAGGTCTAATTCCAGTGTTTATAATCATAACCACAACAGTGTATTGATACTGTTCATTTTGTTTTCCCCATTTCATTTATAACTCCCTGGTGCAAACATGTTATCTGCATGAAGCACTATGTTGAATGCTTTCTGATTATATGCATCATATTCTTGACTGTATCTCTAGTTTTACCCTATTTGCCATTAACACAGAGTATCATAGACTATAAAACTCATTATTGACTCTATGGGCTAATTTGTTAAATTTTTAATACTACTTTGATTTTTTAAAAATTTTCAGTACTGGAAATTGAATTGGATCCAGAGTGTCTGCAATAAGCTACACCCTTACCTTTTTAAAATTTTTTGTTCTGAGACAAGGTCTTGCTAAATCTCTGTGTTGCCCGTGTTGGGTCTGATTCTCAGAATACAGACATTACAAATGTGTGCCACAATGTCTGGCTCTTTCTTTTTTTATTTCTGTCACTGTTATCATCATTTTCTTCATCCTCATCCATGCCATTATTTTAATCATTGCTGCTATTTCTTTGTTGTAAATCTCCACATAGACCTATTCAGGATCTGGTTAACATCAGGCCACATAAAGCTAAATATAATAAATGCTTTAAAATCATCCCAAGGGTATTGTCTAAAATGTGATTCATAAAGGAAATATAATCAGTATAGATCATGACCAGAACGTTAACATATTCTATAGAAAATTTTACTTTAATTCTTTAAAAAATGACAGTTTTTACATTTTATTTATGATAGTAGTTTGTTAATTTTAGGTCAGAATTTTCAAATGACCAAATAGTACAAATAAAACAGTGGGGCAATTCAAAGTCATCGTTCTTGGCAAGTAAACATATGCCTTATTTATTTATCATAAAATGCTGGAAATTTAAATGCTGGAAAAGCAACTAAGTTTAAATCAGACCGATGCACCTTCAGAGCATTTCTCTCTATGCAGTGCTCTTTTACAACCACGTTTGGGTGATCCATGCTTGGCCACACCAGTCACTTTATGTTCTACCCTCCTGGACAGAACCCTCTGGGAACTCACCTGTTGTCACACCATGAACCACTCCTTCCTTGGTTTTGGAGCCTGTAAAAACAAACAAATGCAAAACATAAGTCTCAGTCTGTCCTTAGGTGACTGGTTAACCAGTTTGATATACAACTAATTAAAAATCTCAATCTTCAGAAGTCCATATATGATGATATCCTCAGAGGGGAAACACATAAAAATAAACAAACAAGAGATCCAGTAACCCCTACGACAAACAGAAGAAAACAAAGCTGACAGGAGAGCCGCTTCAATTAATATTAATGTTTCAGGCGCAAGCTGGGGAGGGGAAAGGTTAAGCTGCAATTAGGCAGTAATCAGAAGCTCCAGTTTGCTGTTACTGAGTAGAGTGACTAGAGCAGAAACTACGTAATATATATTTCGAAAAGCTCATGGAAAGGGAAGTTGGATATTTCCACCACAGAGAACTGAGAGAGGTCTGAGAAGCTAGGTGTGTGTAGCCTGACCACACAGGGTATACATGTATCAAGCATCACATGTATCCCATTAGTATGTATAATTTTTGTATTTTGTATGTATGAGTTACAAACAAATGTGATTTTTAAAAATGATTTTAGCACCCAGTGATAACTTTTCATACTAGTGATTCCCACATCACATCCCAACTTACAGGGCAGGGGTGGGACAGGGAAGTGATACAGCACTAGGGCATAGTGCACAGGCTGCAGATGCCAAACTAGAAGCTGTAAAAGCACAGCACAATCAGGAGATTAGTTAACACTGAAACAAAATGGAAGGGAGAGGGAAAAATTGTACTAACATTTGTCAAATCCCTATAATGTAAAAGGCGTTATTTTATATCATCTCATTTAACCCCTTCACACACATGTAGTAGATGTGTATTATACTTGTTTCACGTATGAGGAAATTAAAAATTTAGTTAAATGATTTGCCTAATGTCATACACTGAATATGTAATAATAGGCTATAAAAACAATCAAATGTATGTAAGATAAGAATCTTCTCCAACCCCTAACCATTACTAAATTTGCAATACTGATTATATAGGTTTTAAAATTGAGTTTATTAATGTTTTATTCATGGCCTCTTTAATATTAGATTTGTCAGTACAATTCATGCCAGTTTTTTTAATTAAAACGTTTTGAAGAAAATAACAGATTTGATATTCAGTTGAAAACTTTCTCAGGTTTCAAATAATGAATCTCTCTCAAGACATAAAAGAGTATAAGGAAATGGGGACATAAAACTTGAGAATGAGTTAAACTTGTGAAGGGATATTAAGACAGTTACTAATCTGCACTTTAAAAAGGCACTAAGTTTTGAACAATTCTTACAAAACATGTAAGAAATAAATATATGCACTTTTTAAACCAAAGGAGAAAAAATATAAGGGGACCTCAGTTTCCTTTTCATCAAAATTAGTAGCATAAAATGAGTTAATTATTCTCAAACTGGAATGTAAGATGACAGAGTTTAGAGCATAACTACCTGAATGAAAGTGCTAGTTTAAAAATGCTGATTATGGGGCTGGGGATTTAGCTCAGCGGCAAAGCGCCTGCCTGGCAAGCGCAAGGTCGAGAGTTCGGTTCCCGGTACCGGAGAAAAACCAAAAAAAAAAAAAAAAAAATGCTGATTATTAAGTCAGAGCGCAGTTATTCAATAAATGTGAAGTATAATTATTTGCCTTTTTAATAACCATCATGATCTCATGCAGATAATTCATGGATCAAATTTTGAGAAACATTAATCTGAGGTAGTTCTAGTAGTTTCAAATTTATTTAAAATGTAGAACAACATTTTATTATCTGAAAAAGATCATATTGAAAATATTCTTTAAATAGTTTTGAACATACATAAATATGGCAGTGAGTCAATTTTGCATGCATTGTATTATATTAACCTACATTTTACAAAGTAGTCAAGTAAAATTTCTGCATTTAGTAAAACAATAAAGATATTTAGGGCTGGGGATATAGCTCAGCAGCACAGCACCTGCCTGGCAAATGCGAGGTCCTGAGTTCGATTCCCGGTACCAAAAAAAAAAAAAATACCTATACCTAAAATATATTTAAGAACTTTCAATTTGAATATAAAGACCTTCAATGCAAATGAAACAAACTAAAGCTCTGTGGTTAAGAATGTGAGTTTTGGGGGCCAGGGAGGTAGCTCAGTGGCACAGAGCCTGCCTGGCAAGCACAAGGTCCTGAGTTCCATTCCTGGTACCAAAAACAAAAAGAATAAAGAATGAGGTTTGGATTCAGAGCATCTGGATGTAAATCTTCATGTTATCACAAAAAAGTCAAATATATATAATTGGCTTAACATGATGATGAAAGCAAATAATTCATACAAAAATTCTTAAAGTGGTGTTTAGTACCTAATATATTTTGTTAAGTGATAACTACCATTCTTCACATATAAGGTTTATAAAGGGACGTTCAGTTTCAACCATAGAAGGCTAGACATGGTTGCACATGCCTATAATCCCAGCACTTGGGAGGCTGAGGCAGAAGGATTGCCATGATTTTGAGGCCAGCCTGAACTACACAGCGAGACCCTGTCTCAAAAATAATAATAATAATAATTAATAATAATTATTATTATTATAGAAGTAGAAGGAGGAGGGGAAGAAAATAAGGTACAGTTTAAACCACAGGAAAAAAAGCATCAAGTCACACATGTTATGTAAATAAAAAGGTATAGTTGTTTAAACATGTTCAAGTACATGTCTGTTACAGCTGGTGTCTAGATATCCCTCCAAAGCCTCCTGCAGTTATAGGACCAGGCTTTTTGGAGGTAACTGAATCTACAACATGTGAGTGATTTGTAGTGCAACGCTGGGATTGAGGGCGGAGGGATTAAGGGTGAGGGGATTAAGGGTGTTGGGATTAAGGGTGGGTGACTGCTGATCAGTCCACTGACTGGACTGGCATTGTCCTAGTCCTGGTAGACTGGATACAATATAAGGGACAGAAAAGCCTTGTCTTGCCCTCACTTGCTGCTTTTGCTGTCTTCTGTAGCCCTAACCTGTTGTTCCTTGGCCAGATGCCACCCTGCTTGGAGCCAGCCAATTATGGACTGAAACCTCTACACACTGAGCTAAATAAACCTTTCCTCTTTAACTTTGGGTGTGGGGTATTTTGTCTCAGCAATGAGAAAAATAACTAAGACAGTGTCATAGCATTTTTCACATATGTAATATGTGGTATTTTACAGGCAACACTTGCCTTGCCTGATACGATGATACTGTAAAATGTGCAAACTGAGATGAAACTGTGTGAGTGGTCTTAATTATCAATAAGAAATATTATGATTAAATTAATGATAAAAATATTGATTGCCTCACGACCTTTAAAAAATTTTGTCAAAGTATTAAAAATAACTATTAAAAATTCTGTCATACTATTAAAAATTCTTAGTCATATATAAATGTATAGAGAAATAAAAATAATATCAATTTAACAGTAAAAAGAGTAATATTAGTTTCTTACACTGCAACTTAAAATATTAAGAATTGAAGTGTTATTTCTTTATAAAAATGCATCGTGAGTAGTTCTGCTCACTGTATAACTCCTTGTGTGGTGGACAGTGCTCATATGTCTTACAGAACTGGCATTCTCCTTCCTAAGTGTGGATCAGCTTTCACACTGTACCCTTTGCACTGAGTGTCATGACTTACCCAAGGGTAAATCCTGTTAACTTGCAGTATTTGGTGCCACCACTTTCTCCGATCCACTGTCACCCAGATCTGTCATCCTTCCATTCACGCCAACACTCTTACCTTTAGTAAGTTCTTTCAAGAGCTTACCTAGAGGCGCTTGAACTACAGTGACCACGTCAACATGGTCGACTATTTCTTCTACAAGTCATGTTTGATTCAAATTATACTTCAGCATTCTCACTTCTTTGCTGTACATTCATCTTTGATGGCCAGTTTGCTCTTTATATTATGGGCTTCTGTAAAATATCTCATGATTTTTGTCACCAGGACAGAGAGAGGCAATGCAACCATGGAAGTTGCTGCCTGTATGAACTGCATAACAGATGTCAAATGACTAACCACTGACGAACATCTAAAAAGTGCTATATTCACTGGTTATAATGTGTTTCTGATAGTTATGTAATGACTTGGGGGCTGAGAAGCTAGCAGTAAAGTTTGTACCTTATGCAATGCTCTCAACTATGTAGCGTGATAATAGAAATTTAAGCAGCATTGTTGGGGACTGGTGTTACTTAGCTCTGGCAGCCAGAATTTGTGTACACTGGAACAATGTGAAGTGAGACTGTTTCTCATTTCTAGCTCTTCCTCCCACTCCCTGTACCTGTATTTTAAATAAAAAATAAGTAGGGGCAAGAAATATCTAGGGATTGGTTTGATTTTTGCTCTCTGCCTTAGTAGCTCAGATTTTGACCTTTGGTTAAATCACGGAACATATCTTCAGTCAAAAGCAAGTTGCCATGTATCAAACCAATGACTTGTTATTTGCTATCATAATTGCTTACTAGTAATCTATAGCTGAGGATAAACCTTTAACTCATGAGAAATCTGCAATTAATAAGCGATAGTATCAAGTGGTTGGGATAACAGTGAGATAATCAATGCTGAAAAGACACCAGAGCCAATTATTTTCCTGAGGTGAGGTCTCCACCCCGACCCTGTCTCTCAGCCTCACAAAGATGCACAGCAGAGAAGGTCACAGTAACACTGGGATTTGCAAGAATTCATCCAAACCACTGTTGCACATGTTCTGTTGACTTTCTCAGTTTGGTAAGGTGAAATATGTTTTTGGACCTGAGAGTTTATTTAGTATTAGTCACGCTGATGATTGCTTTTATTGAGCAGAATGATACTGAAAGAGTTCTGAAGATCATTTTCTTGCATTTATTAATATACTTGATATATTTTTTCTGCATTTGAATCTCAATCTCAGTGTACAATTTCTAAGCAATTTCTGAGTGATTGAGATTTTTGTCAAATAAATTGAAGTGTGTTGATTGAAAATCTGTGCATACAAATTCACAAAGCAGAAAATGTATACAAAAGTCACACATTATTGTGGTAGTTCTTCAATTTGTTAAAAGGTAGTTGCCAAATATGTATTCTTATAAATGAATGCGATTCGTTGTGAGGATTCTCACCAACTTCTTCACCCATAAGTATAATTACAAATTTTTTAACCACTTTTAATCTTCCAAACTGGGTATTGTTGATCATTTTTATAATGAAGTATGAAAAAATAACAAATTATGTTAACAATGTAATTGTTCTGCTGGAAGTTTATCTGATAATAATCACTATGGTTCTTGTATACAATTCTTTGCTTAGTTAATCTTATATCTTATTTAATGTCACATCTGACAAAAACTCTGCAAAGTAGTTATATTTTTCTAAATCATATTTTATCTTACCAATGAGGGACATGATACTCAGAAATATTAAGTAACTTCTCCAAGACAGTAAAGGGAAGGCGTGAGGCAAGCTAAACTAAAACTCAGCTTTATGTGACATCAAGTCTATGTTTTCTACACTTTACCAGCATTCAACTACAACTTACTGGTTAATTCCAGCACACTGTTTTTGTAAATAAAGTTTTATTGAAACTACTATCTTAGTTACTAGCTCTGGTCGTTTTCACACTTCAACAGCAGGTGTGAATAACTGAGACCAATATATTTGCTATCTGATCCTTTACCAAAATGTTCACCAACCTCTGGAATATGCTGTTGTGTTTTCACATGGTCCTTTTTCATCATAAACCCTATGTTATATGTTCATCTTTTAATTAAACTTCAGCACATAACCAATAAATAATTTATAAAGTATATTGTGGTAAATATCATGATTATATTGAAAACTATTTTAAATGACATAAACAAATCACAGTATTATATAATCACCTATTATTAAAAATCAGAATTAATTTCTAGTAGATAAAATCATTCTTTCCCCCAACTCATATTAACAATGAAAACAAATAAGTATTCCAGATGACAAAATCTGTTCATTACCTAGGGCAACATATTAAATTAGTATTCAATACTTTCTGTGTTTGTTACAAACTAGTAGAGTAAACACTAGCAATTTAAAAATATCCTTCTCAGCGCTCTGGAAGGCTGAGCCAAGAGGATCACAATTTTAAGCCCAGCCAGGGCAACTTAGTGACTTAGTGAAATCCTGTCTCAGAACAAAAATAAAAAAGGGTTAAGGGTATAGTTCAGTGTGAAGACCCTGGGTTTAATCCCCAGCACACCACACACACACACACACACACACACACACACAAATACAAAGTTTTTAAGTAAATGAAACCAAAGAATAGTTGGAAGCTTGGAATTTCAGAATTTGAAAAACTGAGGAGAAAGACAGTGATAACCTCTATGTCACAGAGCTTGCATTTCATATTTCAACTACAAATACATAATTCACAACTTGCCAAAAAACTTTGAAATCAAGTCACCATTTTTTTCCTAACACTGCTTTTACATTTTTTTGAAAAATTCTTTTGAGGAGAGGAAAGAAGGCATAATGGAAGATCAGTGGAATGATTCAGCCAACGTAAGTAAAAAGAATGTATGAAGAGTGAAAAGGAAGTAATCTGCTTCGACCTTTGAGGAGAAACACTGGTAGAATCATTCCAGATAAGCGTTCTCTCCTGCTGATCCTCGTTGGAGAGGCAGCACAGCTCCTTTCACTCCACAGGGCTCTGCATGGGGCACAGCACGCCTGTCACCCGTGCCACCCAACGCCTCCTCTGACTGCTCATCCTGTGACTCCTGCCATGTGTGCCTCAGAGAACACGGAAGAGCACACAGCAGCAAAGAAAGGGGAGGCAGAGAGTGGGCTGTGTGTTTTTATTCCTCCCCCAAAGAATGTGGTTTGTAAAATAACACAATTGAACACAGTTCACAACTCAGAATGTACTGGTGTATGTGTCAAGAGGACCATTTAGAGGGATAAAGGTGATAAGCATCCATGTCATTATTTATGTATGTGTGACACTGGGCAAATGAACCGTGGAAACATTTCCGATGCATTAGTAGCAACCTCAAGCACTTCCTTGAGCACTTGGTCCCCAGGGTTCACAGTGACTCAGAGAAGGTAAGGAATAACTCTACCAAAGACTAATCCATCCTTTCACTTCAGGGGGAGGAAGACAGGTCTATCTTTACACACCAGAGGAGCATAACGAAGTCTTAATTTTAAAATCAGATACATTCAGATTAGCAAACATTATTCCTGATAAAAGAAATCAAAATCCCATGAATGATTTTGAGCTTAAATATTCTTGACGTTTTTGAGTTTTAGGAACTCTCTTCCAAAATACAGTCAATGATGCACAGAAACAGTCATTAAAAAGACAGAAACACAGAGTCCTAAATATTACAGCGAACTAATCGGGAAAAACATAAGAGCGTTCCCATTTTTCACTCTTAGCTAAAAGGTACGCATTCACATCCTTCTGCCTACACACACCTAGACTCACTCCACCTTCCTGACAAGTGATGACAGAAACACGAACCGGTCAAGAAATACCAGCATTTGCAGCATCAACCTGCCAGTCATGAATAAACACACAGTGACAGTTGGGGTTCACCTACCTACATAGAGAACACCCTCTTTTGTCTTCCCCGCTGCTTCTGCCACACCCTGTTTGGTTTTTTCAGCAGCAGCCACAACTCCCTCCTTGGCCTTTGAAAGTCCTTTCATGAACACATCCATGGCTCACGATCTCCTCTACGCCACACTGGAGAACACAAAACACTGCGAGTGAGAACATCTGGGTAAAAGAAGACAAGATAAAAAAAACGCAGGGAAAAAAACCACTCTAAAATAGCAGGAGAAACCCGCAGGACTGAGACTGTGAGGAGCATTCCGATTTCAACCAATGGACACAGCAGCCTTTTTTAGCTTTTGCATTAAAATTGCACCAACTCCCATCCATCTTGGCTTGTGAAAGTCCAGCCACCTAAACCCGGATTAGGATGCTGCACCGAGCAGCTGTTCGTATTACATTTCCAAAGTGCAGCTGCACGAAAAGATGGACCCCTCTTGCAACTATCGGAGGCCTAAAAGGTGGCAGTAAAGTTAGAAGCACGTCCGGAGGAAAGAACACAGAAAAAAGAAATGGAGCGGGAGGCTACAGTCAGGGGCTTTCACGCTGACCCCAGAGAGGGGAGAGGAGAGACCTACTCACTCTGAAGGTGGGTGACCCTCAGGGGCCAACAGCTACCCGAACTCTCCTTAATCCCGCAGATGGCACAGCTGTGTCCTACACTGAGCGGGTGTTGTCCACAGCCCGGCAGGCTCGTCCGGTCAACCTCAGATGCACCCCAATAGCTGGCCCTGCGCCCCGCACCTGTTAACCCCTCAACACCTGTTGATGCGCCCTCCCTGCGCTGGCACTTAATTGTTTATTCCTCACTTTACACAGAACCCAGAGGGCGGGCTGCGGGGAGGGGGTCAGCTGACCTTAGAGAAATAATAGTAAAAGTTGGAGGCTCGTACGCCCACCAGCACCCCAGGTCTCGGGGCAGCCGTCCGACCCCGGCTCGGCGGAGGGGGCGCGCGGCGGCGAGCAGCCCGGTGTCCGCGGCCC